ACCTGGCACAGTTTACTGTGTTCAAATAACCAAGGGGTTTAGCATTAATTAATTTCAGAAATGCTACAGCTGATTACAGCACTAAGCCTGAACTGCAGGCTTTTTGCACACAGATACCCTGTACGCTTTCAGAATCTTCTTCAGCCATCCATTCAGTTTAAGACAGAGCATGGGCAGAGGGAACAGCAACAGCCAAAATCCCACCATTTGTATCATTGTGAAGATCTGTGATAAGTAAACTGAACACCAATAATGGAAAATTCCTTTATATTTTATCTAAACAAGCTCTTAAAGATAGAATACAAGAAAATTAAAGAACTCTCTTGGGGCAATAGAGAGGAATTCTTCAGGCTGTGGGGCAGCCTTCAGCTTTTCTCATCTCCCTGTCACTGCTTGTGATACCTACAAGGCCCTATCAGGTTAACAGATGAGGTGATACAACAACCTCCAGAGCCAGATGCACACAGGCAAGGAACACGCGCCACAAGCCATAGCTGTGTAAACAGGTGAACAAGATGGCTCCAATATTGCTAGGAGACACAGAAGGTGAATCAAGGGGTAAAACAAGAGGGGATCACCTCCAAGAAGCAGTGCAGGGAAGAGGAAATGTGCAGAACAGAAATGGAATGCTCAACTAGCTAATGGTATGAATAAAGAGGAAAAAGTCTGTCAGCATCAGAATTAAGTACAGCAGACAGTTCTATTCCTTTTCAGACTGCAAGGCACAACTTTGGGGCACTGTAACATGAAACACTTTCCACTCAGGCACACATGCTCATTAGCTGACCCCCTCCGTGCATTTTTTTCCTATCTAGGAATGAGGAAAGCTGCTCACCCAGCAGCAGTCAGAAAGCTGGACAGGGCTAGGATGAGCGACGGCCAGACACATAACGCTCAGCAGGCTTCTGGAAGGGAGTGATTTTCCTCTCTCCAGCAAGGAAAGCAGGATGGGCAGCTTTCAGTTTCAGAAACCAATTAGGCAGAAACTGCTATCAAAGCAATAGAGGGCCCTACCCTAACTGGGTTGAGAAACACCAGGTGGTATTATCTCAATCGCTTTGCCAGTTTCAACAGCCCCACTCATTCCTTCTCACTGAAGGCGCCCAGGGTGCCCTTTTCCAAGGCTCTTCCCACATACCTACCTGGACACCACACAGCATTCAACAGAACTGTCACCTAGACACCACTGCTACCTAAAAAGCAGTCGCTATTATGCAGTGGCTCGTGGAATAGCTACTAAAAGAGCAACAAACTCAAAGACTTTATTCCTTCAGGAACCACTTTTAAAGAGCCATCACACCCTGTGAACAATACACAGCAACATAGGCTTACCAAGCTATTGTGGTTTCAGGAGATTTTACAATACAGGAAAAATCCAGTGAATCTAAGAAGAAAAGAAAAACTTCAACAAACCCCAAGTTTGGCACCACTGAAACATTCTTCTGCAGAGTCCAAAATGAATTATTACAATACTGTCCTTTAGATTTTGCAACCAAGAGTATGTGGTCAACATCAGAATTAGCTAAAGCAAATAAAACTGCCTTCCTCACCCTCCAAGTTGACAAATCCTGCATAACCAATTACAGACCCATGACACTCACACACGGAGCAAAAACTCTTCATGGCAAGTGTTAGCCAAGACACTATTTACTGCAGACCATCAAGACAATTGGCTACAGTTACAATAAGTACTGCTGCCTGCAAGGACTTGGTGTTACTTGAAACACATATTTCCCAGAAGCTTAGAAGAAGGAAAAAAAAATCAATTCTACAGTCATTAGATGAAAATTTTCAAACTGCAAACTTTGAGACTTCTATTTTTACACTGATATTTTTAGTCATGTGTTGCATGACTACCCTTTGTATTTCAGGATTATTTTTGTCCCATCTGAGAAACAAGGTACATCCGTAAGCAGTGTAAGAGCAACTAGGTGAAGAACAAAAGAAAACTTCAAGCTCCTATCTCTTCTCCTACTATAATGAGCAGGTTGATAGTATCAGCAAGTGGAAAACTGGAAGCTTAGCTCCCTCCTTTTGAGGGACAGGCTTAACAGAAGGAATACACACTCTTTTTTTGTTCAGGGAAAGCCTACAGACCCAGCAACACAGCCTCACACAATGAATACCCCATTTGAGAACTATTTCAATGTAGAAATCCATATGGTTGAGTGATTTCACAACCACCAAAATATAAATAGAGAAATAAAAATAGTCAGTTTTCAGAAGACAGATGTATGGCTTGAAAGAGATACACGAAGGCCACAGGGTTCCTACTGCTGCAGAGATGTTCAAACCCTAGTAACATCCCTGACAGAGCAATGAGAGCAGCATGCATGAGAAGTCATTTTTCCCAATAGCCAAAGGAGAAGCAGCTGCTCGTAATCCCCTATCCTTCCATTCAAGGTTTCATTCAGTTACCAACTTCTGAGAACAAAGTATCATAAATTCAATCTAACAAACTGCACAGCAAAGAGATGAAAAATCCTTGCTCACTCTTTCCTCCCCATACACCTTGGGAAAAAGTGCAATCACAGCACGGTTCTAGTTCTGCTCCTCCCAGGAAACCCAAGGAACAATGAACCCTCCTCCAGTATTTTATGAATCCTTTTCTCATCCCTTAGATATATCCTTCCTAGGTAACTGTTGCAGCGCTCAGCCAAGAAGAAGCAATAGCTGCAAGAGACATCAGAGCAAGAGTGACTTCATCATCTGATTTCACCCCTCCTTACAAATGAGAGCAAAAAGGCTGACATCAAACAAGGCAGGTTTTGCTTCCAAAAGACCCACACCAAGACAGAAGCAATAAAGATATCCCAGACACTCAGAAGATACCAATCCATCAATTTTCACCTTCCTCATAAGGACTCTTTTGTCCCAGCTTTAACTCAAACTGCCTCAGAAGGTAACTAAGTATCAGCCTATAAATATATATCAAAATGAAAGAGCCGACCTAACTCTGTTCACCACACAAGCACTGCACACTGGCAATACACAGCTTGCTACATCATGTGATAAGATGTTACCAAGACTCCGCTAACCAGTAAAATAAAACCTTTTTTGACACCCTGGAATTTTTCTCACTTAGAAAGCAAAGAAAAAAGTTAACTTCCCAAGCTGTCTTACATGGCTGGATTAACTGAAAATAGAAACTGCACTTCCCACAGAATCCTTGAATGTGGTTCTCTTGCTTTGTTCTGACATTTTTTCCAGACAGCAGAAGGACCAGGAGCACATGACTAGAGCGACTGGGGGGGTTATCACAAGTGCATGCGCTTTATGTTACGGCCTTTGTTTCTCCCTCAGTGTTATACACTTGGGATTGATTCATATTTGCAAACTTGTTAGTCTGCATCAGTTAGCACCCTCTTCACAGGCAAGCATCTGTCTAGTCTTTGACCTCAAATAAACGGGAAAGGAGCATCAATGACCTTTCAAGAATCGAGCTGCAGAGCCTGAATAGACATTTTAGTCGCTGAGTATGACAGGTTGAGGTCTCGCTCGGTTTAGACAGCCACCTGCAGAAATACTGGTCACCAAGACCTGCTTTCCAATCCACGGGCACTTCAAATAAGCCATTTAATTAAAATGGAGTCACCCACAGTTCTCCTCCGTGCAGATCAATAATCCTTAATAAATACTAATGCTGAACCTGATCAAACCCACGCTGTGGTGCTGCTAACATGGGTTAACTGCACCCGTGGTTTTGGGAGGGCTGCTGGCACACTGATCATGCAGATAGAAGGTGGAATACAGCCCCGGAGCCAAGTGCTCTCTTCGAGGCTTCATCCACAGTGGAAGACATTTCGGTGCAAAAAAAAACTATCAAAATTTCTTATCTGTCAGAAAGCTCCCAATCTCCCAGTGCTTTGGCATGAGACACACAAGCCCCTGCGATGGATACAGGCATGCACCCACAGAGCCATGTCAGGTGTGGCTTTACACGAATATCAAATGGATCAATCGAATGGGAATGCATATTGAGCATTCCTGGTCCCATAAAAATGTCATCCTTCATTTCCGTAAAAAAAAAGAAAATATATCTAAAAACCACACTGTTCATATGAATCTGGAAGAACAATTGAGGTCTTAATGTGAACATATTCAGAAGAGGAGTAAAGAAATTCCATATGATAACCACATAGCTGATCTATAGCAACTCAGAACTGGGCCTTTTTGTATCAGCACAGGTTTAATTCATATTTTTATTTCATATAAACCAGCTAACCCCAACAGATAGAATACGAAGAACAGGCACACATTAAGCATTTCTGACATGCCTGTGCAGAATAAAGCATAGGCCTCATTCTTAAAAAATATTCCTCTGATCAGAAAATTGGAAAAATAATACCAAGCTTGACATGTGAGCCCATGGAGTAGTTACTTCAAAATAAGCATTTTCTTATGCCTTCTTCTGAGCATTTTAGCAGAGCCTGGAGGATATTAGAGACACCTTTTGTAAGCTCCCCTCCCCCTCCTTTTTTTTTTTCTTTAATGGGCTGGACTAAAAGGTGCTCACACCCGATCTACGGGTGCATGGAAAAACCTTCCATGCTCTCTCCCCTTAACAGACAGGAGTGCTTTTAAAAAAAAACTCAAAAAAATACATAATGAACGTGAATGTCACGGTCATACCTGTGTGCCCGCAATTCGTTTCCTCCTTTCGGTGGGAGGAGGGGGGGAATGAAAAGGAAATACAGACTACAGAGCTCCCAATCCGTTTCACAAAGGGGGGAAAAATGGCTTTTTAATGAGCCAGAGGCCGCTGGCAGCGACCAGGAGCTAAGGACGAGGACAAACCCACCGGGATTTTCCGTCCAGCAGGCCCCGAACGGAGCGGCGGCGTGCGCCTATTCAAGGTTAATGGGGGGGGAAGGGGAGAGAAAGGAGCTGCCGAGGCCGGGGCTGGGGCCAGGCTCCCTTCGCCGCTCCCAGCCCGGGCGAAGGGCGGGGGCAGCCTCCCCGGCGCTCACCCCCACACCCGAGGGGGGCAGGATACTCACGGCTGACTTTCATGCTGCCGAAGGCCGAGGGCTGCTGCACCGGCTTGCAGCTCTCCGCGAAGGAGGTGGTCCTGGGCCGCCCGGACATGGTCTCTCCCGCTCTGCCCCAACGGCGATCACCTCTCTCCTCTTCCTGCCTTCGCCCTCCGCCTCGCCCCGGCGGGCCCGCCTGCCGCTCCCTCGCTCGCTCAGCTGCAGGAGACGGGTGGGACGCGCCACATGAAACGCCGGGACCCCCCCTTCCCCCCCCCGGGGAAGCCCCCTCCCCTCTCGGTCTCTGTCGCCCGGCGGCTGCTGCTGCTTCTTCTTCTCCTGCCGCTCCTCCTCACGCCGCCCGCTCCTCACACGACCATCCTTCCCGGCCGCGCCGGTGGGTCCGAAGCCGCCTCCCCCCGGCGCCGCTCCCGAGCGAGGGGGGTTCGCTGGGCCTCGCTGCCCCCACCCCGGGCGCCAGTCACATGGGGCGGAGGCTCGCGGCCCGGCTCCTCCGATCCCGCCGCCGCCGCGTTTCTCTCCTTTTATTTGCTTTATCTCTCTTTTTTCCCTTTTCTTCTTTTTCTTCCTTCTCTTCCTTCCCCCCTCCCAGTTCCTCTCCTTCCCCCCTCGCCTCTGAGGGAGGCGGCAGGCAACGGGACTATTTTTTTCCCTGGCGGAGGGATCTCGGGGCACCGCCGAGCGGAGGCGATGCGGCAACGAGTCGCAATAGGATCCGGTGGTGGCGGCGGGATCCGCGGCGCGCGGAGGGGGGTGAGGCGGCCGGGCGGCCTCGCTGCTCGCTGACGCTGCTGCTCAGTGCGGCGCTGAGGCGGCGGCGGCTCCGGCGGTGCGGCCGCTCATTGCGCCCGCACGGGCAGCTGGCGGCGGCTCAGGCACGGCACGCTGCACTGCGGGCGGCGGCTAGCGGCGACGGCACGGGCCATGACGGCGGCGCCTTCCCTGCTCCTCCTCAGCCCGGCTTCAGAGCGCTGGCGGCGGTGGCTGCTTTTGCTGCTGCTTCCCCAGGCGCCCAGGGCACATAGGATTCGTCCGCCCGGCTCAAGTCTCCCGCCGAGCCCCCCTCCCCGTTCCTGACGATCAGTCCCTTTGTCCCCGCTGCTCCCTCCGCTGCGTGCCGGGCTCCCGCCGCTGCGCTCTGTGCGTGCGCCAAAGCCGCGCAGCCGCCCGTGCCCGCCGCCGCCCCACGCTGCGGAGCAGCCGTAAGCGCCGTCTGTGAATACCCGGCCGAAGAACCCGGCGCGCCCGCGAGCCCCCGGCCCGAGGCCGATACGGAAACGCCCGAGCCTTCTCGGGGCCAATCCTGAGGCCGTGGCAAGGATGCCTGTAACTGGCCGGAACCAATCACGGAACCACCGCGGGCGCGACCGATTCTCCCCGAAGTGAAGCGGAGACCCAATCGGAGCACGCCGCCGCCGCCCTAGCAGCGCGGGCGGGCGGCCAATGGAAAGGAGGGCTCTCTTCCGGCCATCGCCGGGCCAACCCGAGTGGAGCCGAGGAGGGAGAGCCAATCAGGGGACGCGCTGCCTCCGTCACCCAGCCCTGGGACGTCTTCAAGCCGCAGCCCGAGGAGGAGCGCGGCCGCGGGCTGCGATTGGCTGGCGGCGATGAGGCCGCCTGCAAGGGACCAATCGGGAGGCGCGGGGCCACGGGCGCGCCCGCTCCCGACGGGGCACGGCCGCTTCCCTCTGTGGGGGCCGGGGCAGGGCAGCGCGCATGCGCAGCGCGGCCGGGCACCGCCCCTCAGGCGCGTCCTCGCGGCCCGTCCCGCCGGGAGCGCGCTTGGGGCAGCGCGAAAGGAAACCCGAAATTGCGGGGTTTGTGCCCAAAAGCCGTCAGGCGGGGAGGTGTTGCGGCTCTGCTTCATTGAGCCGTGAAGGAAATGGCGCTGACGCGCGCAGTGCTGTCAGAGCACCACAGAATGGTTTGGGTTGGCACGGCTCTTCAAGGGCCTTGCGTTCCCACCCCCCTCCTTCCACTGGACCAGCTTGCTCCGAGCCCCATTCAGCCTGGCCTTGAACATTTCCAGGGATGGGCCATTCACAAGTCCGCCGTGTAGCCTGTCCCAGTGTCTCACCACCCTCATGCAAAGAATGTCTTCGAATATCTGATCTAACCCTGCCCTCTCCCAGTTCGGAGCCATCCCCTTTTGCCTGGTCACAACAAGCTCTGGTGAGCAGTCCCTCTGCAGCTTTCTGGCAGGGGACAGGAGGCTGGGACAGTCGTGGATGTGGTTCATGAACCACTCTGTACAAGCTGGGCCAGGCAGGGGAAAGAAGATCAAGGCTCTCATGGAAAGTCCTCGCAGTTCAGCTGTTACAGCAAGGCTTCCTCACAGGAAACATCATTTGTATTGAGGCACTAAACACCCTCAGGTCCCACTGACACCACAGGTAGATTGAGCTTGGCCCTGGCCAGAGTTCCAAGCACTGTTCTGGAAGAACTTGTCCTTCTTCAGGGCTCTGGAGCATCTCTGGGGACAGCAGCTCCCAGCCCTGGCACAGCCAGCACTGAAGCACTGCTGCCTGCTGTGAACTCGGTGGAATTACTCGGCAGACATCAGCAAAAACTGAGCACCGCTTGCTTATGCCATTAAAAAAAAGAAGTGCTCTTGCCAGAATAGTTTATACCACAAACAAAATAACTTGGACTAGCAGAAACATATTTTTGCCAGTGTTAGAGACTAAGACTGCTGTTTTCTTTTAAGGCACCAAAATATTGCCAGATTTACTTTTTTTGCAGCCCTGTTCTGAGCACCATTGCTATGTGACCAAACAAAGACCTGGCCAAAGGCAGCTGAAATTCATCCTTTACAAGAGCTATTTTACAAAGCAAAAAACAAACCCAGTCTCTCAAAATGGTCCTGTTCAGTACTTTGCTCGCCCTGGGGTGGTTGGCTTGCTGGAAGCCTTTTTTCTTGCCTGAAAAATGATGAGTGGTTTTACCTACTACAAAGGCCATGGGACTGTGAGACATTTGATTCTCCAGGATCTACCTGTGCAGCTCTGTACAGCTGGGAACCTGACAGGTGAGAGTGGTGTCCCCTAGCAAGGGCTAAGGGACACTGAAGTCACAGCATGGGAGTGGTTCTGCAGCCACCCCAAGCCACCCTACCATACTCATTGTTCCAACCCCCCTCTGAAGCACCACTGTGGCAAATGTTACTTAGACACGGCTTCAGTGAGCTGCCAACAGTGAAAATGAGATTTTCTCTCCTGTTTGGCAGAGCAGTTATCAAAAATTAGGGTTACAGATTAGGTTAGCTCTCTGAAGAACATTCTTACACAAAGCAACAAAGTAAATGTGCCACCAGGCAGTGGCCAGCTCTCTTGTACCTGAAATGTACCACCAGGCATTCCAGTCATTTTTTTTCTGGCTTTGGGCATCAAAATGCTAACAGAAATCACATTTTCTTATTTTCTGACTAAGTTCTTTCAAATTACTACGTAAACAGGAGGACTGACTTAGGAGAGACAACCAAGCTTTGTTTCTTGAAGAAGTTGGCAGTCTGAAAAACAGCAGGTGGGGGAGGGTGAGCTCTTTGCTTTTCAGCATTTGCTGTTACTCATGACAGTGGTAAATAAAAATCAGACCAATGCATAATTTATACTGATGGTGCCCATTTGAAAAATGTCCCTTAAAGCTCTGTAATGAGTCTACAACCTGATAATAAAAATGGGAAATCAACCTCATTTCCTTACAGAGAACAAGCTACTTCATGAAAATAAGTTTGTGCTTGTCCTCCTTTATCTGATATAGCCATTCTCTAAAATCACTGTGTTTCCTCTTCAGCACCAAAGTAATCTATACCAAAACCACAACTTGGTTGCTACTAATAACACTTTTCTGAATACCAAGCCTACCCATGCACAGGGGGAATGCATATTACAAAACCCCCAGCTGCAGTATTTCATATTTGGCAATCCTGCACATATTTCCATTTCATAATTAAGCAACCAAGTCTTCAAAGCCTGTCCATTCAAGTTGTAGCATCTTCTCATCCACCAGGAAACCACAACCGTGTTTTAAAGGCAAATTGTGATGTATTTGAGGGGATGGAAAAGCATAAAGCACCTCCAATTTCTGTTAGTCTGTTCATAGATTCTTTCCTTAACTAAGACAACTCTCGGAAAAACCCTAAACACACAATAGGGGCATCTATTAAGCTTTCATCCTCAATTTCAAAAATGGACTGACAAATAAAACCATTTGTGAGAATCGTGAGTGAGCTAGTTGCTTTTTAGACTGAAAGATTCTCTTTTGACAACATTGCAAAGTCCATATTTATTTTTGGCCCCTTGGCTGATGAAATGACCTCCCTTTAGAATCTGCAAATATAAATAGAATTGACGTTTTAATGATCAGTTTTCACAAGCTATTATAATCCAGCATCCCAAGCATCGATGTTGTGCCAAGTCTGGATGCACGGGGCAGTTTTACCCTGCTGTGTCTCTGCAATGTGCAAATGCCCAGGGAGGTTACCTGAATACGTGAAGTGTCCGAGAGAAATTACTGAGGTGTTATCTCCCTGAAATGCCATAAGGTGGCAGTGAATTGGAAAATTGGTACAATTTCTGGGTAGAACAAAGCTCTAAGGAGTTCAAGAGAAGAGTAGGGCAGGGGTTTTGTTTGCTTGTTTAGGGGTTTTCATTTGTCTGTTTGCATTTCATATATCAACAATAAACTTCAGTCATTCTAATCAGACACTGAATCAGCCTGCTCCAACAGGTAGACATGTTCCAGCACAGTAACTCCTGCTATTTTCTTTCTCCATTGCTTCCTTTTCAAGTGATCAGCAGGAAGATTTTCTGTTTGCTTACCTTGCAGCTCTTGCTGGGTTGTTCCACCAGAAGTCATGGTGACAGGCCTACCTCTTGCTAGTCTGATAAGGACGCAATGATTCAAGGCTGTTTTGAACCTTGCTATGCTAGAGAATCTAAATTATATTAATGGAGCTACAAGTCTTGTATCTAACTCCTTGATATTGCCGAGGCAATTATCCAGAGAACAATTTAGTGAGACATTATAATGGCTTGTCTCTTGTTTGATTGGCATGGGCAAACTCAATAGTTATGGTTGAACTTTAACTTTGCTTTTTTTTTCCAGTGGAAAATCAGCGATTGTAACAGTAA